GCCTCATTTATATAAAATATAGTACATGTTTGTCAGCATGCAAAGTTCCTGGGGACCTTGTCCCTAGAGTTAAAGCATGCACAAAGCAGCCATGACATTATGACAAGATACACCATGTGTGTGGAACTTAGAGCCGGAAGACATGGGTTCAGGTTCCAGCCCTCCTGCTTGCTGCTGTTGTGACCTTGGTTATGTCACTTAACCTCTCTGAGTTTTGGTTTTCTTGTTTAAAATTGTGGCTATTACTTCCTATTTCCATGGGTTGTTGTAAAGTTTGTTTGCTCATGCTGTTTCTCATTCCACAAATGATTTAAAATGACATGCATATATTTAAAAATAAAATAAGATGTATTTGCCCGTTCAGTGCTTTGTAGATTATACAAACATAAGTATAGGGCCATTTTCATTTCTGGGGAGGCCTATCATTCAAAACAAAAGTGCTTTCAAGTACGTGTTTTGGAGACTTCCATTTAGTAGTTTCAAATAAAGCAAATATGTGACATAGACTGGTTAATAAGTGCCAATTTAAAATAAGCCTATAAGAAAGAAGACTATCCAAGACCTTTTTGACTGAAGACCATTTGCAACTAATAAAAACATTAGACTCTCACATACTTAAATGCCTGTTAATTGAAAAGAGCATATATGACAAAAAGCTCTTAGGATTAAGTAACTCTAATAAATGGTTTTTGTTAGTCATAACAAACATGTGCTAACATTTGAGAAAGAATAGAACTTAATTTTATTAAGAGTAGGCCCTTTTTACTCAGCTCAAAAACAATGCTTTTGTTGCCTTTAAGATTGGTAGATACCTCAAAAGAACACAGAAGCTTTGAAATATCCATGGCCTACTTGTCCCTTTTTCTAATTCCTTTCATTATCAAGTGCCATTTGCCTTAATCTTGGGTTACTAGCAATGCTATCTGCTCTCTGCATCTAAAGCCTCTGGAAAGATTGCTCTGGCATGGCCTAATAGCTTTTATCAGCTCACCCAGTGGCTCTTACACTTTGATATTTGAAACCCAGAGTTAACTGTCTGGGGGCCAAGCCCTTCTGAAGGAGTAAACTGCTCTTCTCTATCAATAAAGGCAGTTTATGCCAAGATAGCCAAGAGAGCCTCCTCACCCCCTTCCCTCTGTCAAAGTGAAATGGAACCTAAGAATGGAAGCTAGTGGCTATTTTTTTTCCATACCCCATCCAACTTGCCATTGCTTAATTCCATCTAATTATCAGCTGGGCATGGTGGCTCACTCCTGTAATCCCAGCACTTTGGGAGGCTGAGGTGGGAGGATAACTTGAGGTCAGGAGTTCAAGACCAGCCTGGCCAACATGGTAAAACCCTGTCCCTACTAAAAATAAAAAAAATTATTAGCTGAATGTGGTGATGGGTGCCTGTCATTCCAGCTACTAGGAGGCTGAGGCAGGAGAGTTGCTTGAACCTGGGAGGAGATGGTAGCAATGAGCCGAGATTGTGTCACTGTACCCGGGAGGAGGTGGTAGCAGTGAGCCGAGATTGTGTCACTGTACCCGGGAGGAGGTGGTAGCAGTGAGCCGAGATTGTGTCACTGTACCTGGGAGGAGGTGGTAGCAATGAGCCGAGATTGTGTCACTGTACCCGGGAGGAGGTGGTAGCAGTGAGCCGAGATTGTGTCACTGTACCTGGGAGGAGGTGGTAGCAGTGAGCCGAGATTGTGTCACTGTACCTGGGAGGAGGTGGTAGCAGTGAGCCGAGATTGTGTCACTGTACCCGGGAGGAGGTGGTAGCAATGAGCCGAGATTGTGTCACTGTACCCGGGAGGAGGTGGTAGCAGTGAGCCGAGATTGTGTCACTGTACTAGAGCCTGGGTGACGGAGTGAGACTCCGTCTCAAACAAACAAAAAAAAAAACAAACAAAAAAACCCGATTTCTTTAAAGAAGAGTAATTATAGAGAAATTACTGGATATGCTGTGCATTGCCGCAAGATTAGACGCTTTCCCTTTTGTTTATATTTTGGGCTGTTATTTTTCCCACTAATATCTGTATAGTATATTTGGCTGATTGTAAAATTGTTAGTCTGTTTCTGCTTATGTGACACATGCTCACCTTCCCTCCTTTTGTATAAAAAATAATTTTTAGGGAAATTTATTGTGAGCTTCTGTTTTATTTCAAATAATATGTAACTCTAAAATTCTGTTTTCTAAACAGTGAAACTATTTGAAAACATTCACTTAACATTACAGTTCATGTTACACAGAAAAGTGATAAAAATCATGAAATAAGTCTGTCCCCTTCTTTATAATAGACGAAACTGTAGTGTCAAGAAATACATGAGAAATACTAGCTTGATAAGAGCTCTAATAAACTTTTTTTTTTTTTGAGATGGAGTTTCATTCTTGTTACCCAGGCTGGAGTGCAATGGCACCATCTCAGCTCACCGCAACCTCCGCCTCCTGGGTTCAGGCAATTCTCCTGCCTCAGCCTCCCGAGTAGCTGGGATTACAGGCACGTGCCACCATGCCCAGCTAATGTTTTATATTTTTAGTAGAGACGGGGTTTCACCATGTTGACCAGGATGGTCTCAATCTCTTGACCTCATGATCCACCCGCCTCGGCCTCCCAAAGTGCTGGGATTACAGGCTTGAGCCACTGCGCCCGGCTAATAAACTTTTTATTAAACAACTACGATTGTCCTTAAAAGTGCTGGAGTTGAGGGACCCACATGCTTGAAAGTGAATACACTTTGGTGGTCAAAATGCCCAAATTTCAATGTAGGGTGTATATGTACCTGAATTCTGGGGCTTCCACTTACCAGTTGTGTATCTTTAAATAGTTATTTTAGCTCTTTTGAAGACTTTATTTTCTCATACAGAAATGGTTCCTAACTCACAGGATTTTCTAAGGACAAAATGAGACACATCTGTAAAGTGCCTAATAAAATGTCAGGCACACTGCAGCCCAATGGCAGCAGCTGCTCCTGTTGTTTTTGTTATTAACAAACAGAATGAAGGGAAACCAACCTAGAAGGTTAGATTTTCCAGGATCCCTTCTGCTGAGATCAATTTAGGAAACAGCCCTCAGAGAGACTGTAGTATCTACGCAGGGAACAGGCTGAGGCTGACTTGGAGGAGCTGGACTGGGAAGATAAATTCTGTGCTAGGAGAGCCGCAGTCCCAAATTTCAGACTTCTTTCTTTCTGCTGTTTTGCAGCGTCATGTGATGTGACAGTACTATCACTGCAATTAATCATGTCACTTCATTATTTAGTAATGGCGCTTTTATATACCTTAATCACATGCTTGCAAAAAACAGAGAGTCTTTTTCTCTTCTTCTTTTCTTCTCTTCCCCTCCCTCCACAGAAAATATTTACTCCCCATGTGAGGATGTTATAAGAGCTGAAAGGATTCAAGGTCAAAATAATACAGTGAGTGGTTGAAAAGCTGTGTATATGTCTTCATGTTCTCCTTCTTACCCTTTTGCATTTACAATAGCCCTTCTTACAAAGAAACAGAATTCATCTTTAATTTGCTTTCTGCCATTCATCCTTTTATATTTGATTGGCTCAGTGATTTCCTTTACTTAAATTTAGCATTTATCAATCACAACTAGCAATGCCTGTTACAGTGTTAACGGAAAATTCCACAGGACCCTCTTCACGCTGGGGAAGGGGACCATCTGCTACTTTCATATTAGGATGTCAGGATTTAGAGGTCAATGTGTTTCCCCATCAAGGCTGAAGGCTTTGGGAATCCGGGGAAGTGTCAGGCTCCAAGCAGTATAATGAATGACAGTTGCTGACTGGCGAGGTTCGCATGTTTTCAACAGGGGATATCGCTGTTCCGAATAATGTGCTGGGACTTAGTGTGCTAACACACCCAGCTTGGGTGGTGAGGCAGCCTGTGCCTCCCCGACCTCCCTGGCCCCTGATTCTGAGCTGCATTTTCATCTTGGAAGATATTCTACTGAGGTCTTCATTAGTGGCACCCAGCAGGGCGAAGACTCCATGAGGGCTGATAAGCACTATGGCTGAAAAATGATCAGCCTTTGTGCAGGCAGTTGAAGGTTTAAGTTGCCTGAACTGGAAAGAGTCTGAAGAGGCGATTATGTTAAGCAAGTAATGTGTGTTGGTAACATGGAATCAAATTATTAGGGTCAGTAACTTCCCGGCTTTCCCAGTGCATTAAATGAAGACCATAATATTGCGTTTGTGTCGGGTACTTCTTGATGCCACATTGTGTCAGCACTGTCCGGTCGTCTGTACTTCACAGCACGTCACCTCTAATTTCATGGGATTATCAGCGCTGTTGCATTATTAGATACTCACAATCTTGAGCTTCCTTTGAACTCACAGCAGGGCAGTGCAAAGTCATCATTATGAACACTTCTATGCTTTCTTTTGTTATATACAACAGTATTGCCACATTCAGAAAGGTAGATGTATCCCACTATCATGCTTCCGAAAGCGTGCATTTATTTGGTGGGAAGGGAAGCTACTGATGGGAAAAACATTGAATGTGAAAAGTGTTTTTAAGGACTAGTAGAAAGGTGTCAAGGCAGTGAATTAGTATTAGAAATGTTTATAGGACAGTGGTTCTTAAAGTGTGGTCTGATCAGCAGCCTCAGAATCACTTAGGAACGTATGAGGAATGCAAATCCTACTGAATTAGAAACTGTGGGGTGGAGCTCAGCAGTCTGTGTTTTAACAAGCCCTGAAGGTGATTCTGATGCATCTCAAGTTTGAGAAACACTGCTGCAGCATTTATGGAGTACTTGAATGAGATAAATCCATATGTTCTGGGGTATAGCAATAGACAGACGAAGTATCTGCCCCCGTGGACCTTATTAAGTTGCAAAGGAATATGTGGTTCTTTGCCCTGATGAAATGTGTATACATACCCAACAGAGCCTGTTATTATTGGAGATACTATTACATTCTTCATTTGAATTAGGCTGTTATTTTCTTTGGTATCAGAGAATGACTAACATAAGATAACGAATAAGTGATTCCTTTGTGCATTTCAGAACCATTCCCCTTGCAATATGTGTATCCATGGTCATTGTCACCATTGGCTATGTGCTGACAAATGTGGCCTACTTTACAACCATTAATGCTGAGGAGCTGTTGCTTTCAAATGCAGTGGCAGTGGTAAGTCCAAATTGGGAAAATGCCAAGTGGAATTTAGGTTAATGAGTTGATGCAATTTTATAGTAGTTCCCTCTAGCAGAAAGTGTTTTGAAATTCAGTAATCTTTTCTTGACCTGAATAATAATGAATATTAAAAAAATTTACAGCATACCTTAGCATATTCTATTTAACTGATACATCTAAATTCCTATATGATTTCCCATTATTTCTAATTTCTCATTAAACACTTTTACACGTACATGCTTGAAAATCCGCCGAGGCTTGTTGAATAGAAGGCATTATTCTCCCGGTGGACAGTAATTAAATCTAAATAAATGCATTTTTGTATGCAAATTATAATTTATTCTGTACACTTTCCTGTTTGTGAACTTTTCAAATGCAAACTCAAAATCCTTGCCCCAAGTGTCACTTAAGAATTTTGATGTGGACCATATAAATGTGGTTTTCTTAGTATATCCTTTTGAATACTAGTTCTGGGACATTAATAAATTTAGGAAATACTGGGTCATTCAAAGTTAAACAGATGTTGTTGTTATAATACTTCTCAGACTATTAAAGATACCAACATGCATTCTAACTCCCTAAGACATGGAGTATTTTATACTTTTATAGTATTTTCCAAAATGTATTTGACACCGGAACCATCTTTGTCCCCAAAGATCATAAGACTGTTACTCTGTGACACATACTTTTATTTTGCATAAAGCTTAGCTAGTAAGAGACCATTCACTCTTGACCTCATGACAATGAAGGGTGAAAAATTAAGGACCCATTACTTGACACCAGTTCCTTTTAAAATAGTTAGTATTACCTCATATCAGCAGCATCTACAGAGAATAAATTATCTCATTTCATTTGAACCTGTGTATGAGTTCACGGTATTGAAAAAGACTTTGACTACTGCTCTAAGTCCTACCAGACATCAAATATACAAAGCTTATTGAAATCGGGTCAGTCATCTCATCTTTCAAGACAAAGGGCAGCACTTATTCTTTGGGCATAATGTAGCCCACTAATTACATAGCGCCAGCTGCTTCAAGGACAACTAATGAATCCAACACATTTTTTTTTTGAAAATACGTCGTTCATGGAAATTTGCAATATTGCTCATATCATGGCATAAAATAACATTTTAGAAGTTGTGTTTATCTTTTAAGTTTCTGTGGCTTATTGGACTTTTTTTCTAGCTTTTTTATAGGAAACCACAAAAGAAATTGACAGATACATACGGGGGAGGGAGTGACTTTATAAACAGAGGTTTACCTAGTGTGATTTTCTGGGAAAAATATTTTCAGAGCTAATCATGTATATGATATAAATTATTGTCATTAATTATCGTATTTACCTCCTAATCATGGGATTGGCACATGAAACATGTATCTGTAATACTTCTCCATGTACTTCACTAGAAAATATGGTTTTCCAGCCTAAAGAGAAGTTATTATACAGAAAGATTTCTATCTCCAGAAGTCGAATTTCTGATTTGAGCTTTTATCACTTGCCAGAGTCAGAGACAATACACATCATAGTTGATAACGATTCAATAAATGGATCATTGCTTTCTGAAAGTAGAGAGAAGGTGCTTGTTTAGACCTTTGCCTATGGTTTTGCAACAAGCAATGCCATGGTCCTTGCTTTTGATTATTGTCTATGGAGTTAGTCTGTCCCTAACCAAAGAGAAAAATCATAAAACATCCAGGTATCACCAGGCTAATAGAAAGTCATAGAGCAAGTTTGGCCTAAATTGTTTCATTTTATTCCACTTTCTGGTAAAGCATTAATTTGCTTCATCCTTTCTTTCACTAGACCTTTTCTGAGCGGCTACTGGGAAATTTCTCATTAGCAGTTCCGATCTTTGTTGCCCTCTCCTGCTTTGGCTCCATGAATGGTGGTGTGTTTGCTGTCTCCAGGTGAGTGAGTTCATGTATTTCCAGAAACACATTTCTGTTTTTGAGATTGGATGTGATAAGGGTAACTTTAAAAAGAAAAGGAATAGTGCCTCCAAACCTGTTGTTTTTAAAGGGACACGCAAGATTGAAATGTTGGTGTTAAGTATCAACAGCACGTTTTATTCTGTCCACCAGAGGGCACTGCTTGCCTATTAATAGCTTATTTGGAAGATGGACATGTGGCTTTTTTAAAAATAGTGTTTCCACAGAGTCTAACAACGACATATTATTTCTGGTGATATAATTTTCTGTTTCTCTGAAGATGCCAGGAAAAAAGTAAAGTAAGAGACATCAGAAATCACCACCCCACCATCTGTATTTCCTTTGTTTAGTTTGATGCAAAATTCTTTTTGTTTTAATGTAAGATTAAAACCCAATCAGATAAACGTGAATGCTGCCTGTGCATGTGGATGTGCGTATGCGTGTGTCTGTTGAATTGGATTCAGGACACACATATAACACTATGACTCTAGAACTAAATTCCCCATCAGCTGTTTATATGTAGGGAGAGCTATGCTCAGTCAGATATTGCTATTTTTTCTCTTCAAAGAATAATATAATGTTGGCAGATTTTGTAAAATTCAGATTTAGATTTCCTATGATGTTTCTCCACCTTATTTGAAAAGTGAAACTTAGGCAATCACCTGAGAAATGCCGAACCACTTGGTATGAAAAAGATGCAAGTTTTCTCCGGGATTTCCGGATTTTCCCTTTGAAATGATCAATCATGCAGTAAACTCCACCCACATTTCTCTCCCATCAGGTTATTCTATGTTGCATCTCGAGAGGGTCACCTTCCAGAAATCCTCTCCATGATTCATGTCCGCAAGCACACTCCTCTGCCAGCTGTTATTGTTTTGGTAATGCATATTAACAAGTATATATAGATATAACCTTGAATAATAGGTTAGCAAAAAGGAATTCCAACCAGACATTAGATAGTACTTCACTTTCTCATTCATTGCTAATGTGTGTCACAGTGGAGTTTGGGAGGCAGGGTATCTTCCATCACTTCCTTTTACTCCATGTTTCTGATGACTGTTTGATGCTTTGGGACAAAAATCACATCACCCCTCTTTCACCTTTGCAGAAATGTGTAAGGTCTAAGGAAAACGACTAGCTTGGCTCCTCTCATAGACGTAGCACCTCACAGAAAATGATGTAGAGTATTAAGTCCCAATGGCTTAAGGAAAGTAGAACAAAAAGCTACAGTCTAAAAAGTACCCAGTGGTATGATCTAGGCCCCTTATAATGAAATGCACACAAAATTACTGAAAGAATGGATAAAATCCTAGACAGTGCCATGATGCTGTGATTTAAAGTGACACATTTGAGAGCAAATGTCTTTTATCATTTGCTCTCAAATGTCTCACTCTTTATCACAGCATCATGATAAAATAAAAGCACCACAATGTAAATTTGAGTTGTAAAATTCTTTATGCAGAGAAAAGTGTTTGTGAAATGCGAGCTACAAAAGACTGTATGAGGTGTAAAAGTCCTCAAATACCCATTGGCAATGTTATATTCATTTTTACTGACGATTTTGTAACGTTTCTCTCAGCTGGAATCTGTTGTCAGGAGCACCATAGAATGCACTGAACATTTTTTTTATGCATTTAATTTGTTTCAGAGTGTTTCCTTGAAATTTCCTTTTAAAGTATGTGTACTCCTTGTGCAGAATCTGGACGTTAACGTCACTTGTGGGAACAGAATGTATTATTCCGTGAAGAGGGCTTTCATTTTAAGCCTGCGCTATCAGTCATGCTGTCCTTGGCATGTGCAGCTGCAGAGACTTGCTAAGCTGATCTCTGCGCTTCATTCTTCTCCGTGGTCTTGAGGGTCACACACGGCAAGCACATGGGGAGAGTATATGTGGAGGAAAAAAGGCCAAGTTTTGCAATCAAGAGCCAGCAGAATCACCTATGAGTGTCTGTGCTTCCTGTGTGTGGAGAGCCAAGAGCACATCAGAGGGCATTTACAGAGCTTTCCGCAAATCTTCCAGTTGGGTCTCTTTAACTGTTTATTATTGATTATTTACTAATCATCCCAATCTTTGAGTCTTTCAATTTTGAGTCATCAAATACCCTTTCTTTTACTCTTTGAAAACATATTATCTTCTCTCAAATGCAGAAGGAACCAACATTCATGTAGAATTCCACTTGAATAAAGTGTAATGGCGATGTCACTCTCATAATGTTACTAGTGTGTAAATGGATTATGACAGCAGAATATAGAAAATAGATGAGTCAAATCCAGGTTTTAACCATAATGATAGTTTATCGGTATACATTATCATTTAGAAAGATCATAATGCATAGTGAGGTTATCGTTGTCTATCATCTGTGTTTTCATTGAATTCACCAAGCTTGGCTTTTCTCCCTTTCCCTCTTCAGCACCCTTTGACAATGATAATGCTCTTCTCTGGAGACCTCGACAGTCTTTTGAATTTCCTCAGTTTTGTCAGGTGGCTTTTTATTGGGCTGGCAGTTGCTGGGCTGATTTATCTTCGATACAAATGCCCAGATATGCATCGTCCTTTCAAGGTAACCTCAGCAATCTTGATGGGTTTACATAAATCTTTCACCTAGTACCTAGTCCTCCCGTTGCCATAGCTTGACGATGGGGAGATGGGGAGGTTGGGCTGGGGGCAGCAGCCTGCGGAATCAAACTGTTTAACTCTTTCAGGCAGTGCTTTCCTTTGGGATTTATTTTAAGTTGGAAAAAATATAGTTCATCAAAATTTTTATGTGATGTGCTGAACTTGGTCTGTCACATTTTTGAAAAATGATGGTATGAATGAATGTTTGGCATGTTGATTTTCCATGAATGTGTTCAATGACCTGATCGAGTCAGCGTATGGGCTACTTCTGTCTGTCTTTATGCTGGGGTTGTAGACAGCCATGCTGAGAACGAGTGAGAGCGACACTTCATTAATGCCAATTCCAAAAAGGTGGCTGCTACAAAACAGGCATTGTAAGTACTTAACGCTGTGACTTGTTACATTGCTTTTTATACTATATCCTCTAAAAGCAGTAGGAATGTGAAATACACAGGAAAAGAGAAGATCTATGAATCTACCACGTAACGCCCATTTACCATGAGTAAGCATTTCCGTTTTGGAGACTGGAGAAGACGCTTGTCATCTCCTTCAGACTTGAACGCTCATGGATTGATTTGACCTCACTACTTATTTGCTTCTAGGAAACAGCGTAGATAATGTTGTCAGTCATGTTGTCAGGGTTTGTTTCTAATAATATTCATTGCCTAACGCTGGCAGCGTCTTTATTAGCGGTTGAATAGGAGTTGGCCCGTTTTATTCCTGTCAGTTCTTATTGTGAAGCTCAACAGAAAATCGATATGCACTGAAAGACTTTCACATGTAACAAGCAGCCAGTCCTCTTGACTCCACACTGAAGTGGGTTCTGATCATAATTATCAATGAGCCAATCTTTTGAGATCAAAATCACAAATCGTCATGGTGTCTAGTAAAATAATTCCAACAGAACATCTCTAATAAAAATATCCTTTCTTGTCCTTAGATTTTGTTCTATCCAAAGATTTAAAAACAATTTAAATTGAGTTACATTTAAAGGAGCATGTTTGATACATTATCTGTGTGCCATGAAAGAGATTTTGCTACTAAGGCAAGGCACGTTGGTGCCTGTCACCTGGTCACATGACTACAGTTTGTCACTAAAGTGTGTCTCACGACCGACACACTCATCTCAGACCCCGCTTCTGTTGTGTGGACATGTTTGAAGTGGCTTTTTTTGTGTTCTGTGTTCCAGATCCCGCTGTTCATCCCAGCTGTGTTTTCCTTCACATGCCTCCTCATGGTTGCCCTTTCCCTCTATTCGGACCCATTAAGTACAGGGATTGGCTTAGCCATCACTCTGACTGGGGTGCCTGCATATTATTTCTTTATTATATGGGACAAGAAACCCAGGTGGTTTAGAATAATGTCAGGTAAGAATTTTCAGTACTTTCAGGACCTTGTGCAAGACCACGTAGAAAACTCACAAAGGTGTACATACATAATGTACTTGATGTTTCAAAATATAAGTGGCACAACTGATGATTTGAGAACACTATTGCATTTTAATTGGAACTACTTTTTGGCAGGAAGGACGTTTAAGGTATCGCCATTGAATCTTTTAAGGATGTTGGTTTGGGCTGCTGTAATCACTTCTTAGGAGAAATAGCTTTGTTTTAGATGAAATTTTATCAGTAGATCTCTAAATGACTTAATCTGTCTTTGAATCCCTTACTAATGCAATTATTTTTCTTCTGGGTTGAATGCAGTTTAGTGATTCTATATCATAACATGTGACCTGATGAGTGATGTGAGATTTATTGGGGAGTTAGGCAGCGGGCTGCAAATGTCTTAAACTTTATTACTGTACACTACCTGGAAAGGAAGGGTGACTCATGAAGGATCATAACAACAGGAACAATGAAGAGAACAATAGCAGCTTCCACATTGTGTGCACATGTATTTATTTACTTCTTTTTAAAAAATTTTTACTTCAAGTTCTGGAATACATGTGCAGAACAGGCAGGTTTGTTATATAGGTATACATGTGCTATGGTGGGAGTGTAAATTAGTTCAACCATTGTGGAAAACAGTGTGGCGATTCCTCAAGGATCTGGAACCAGAAATACCATTTGACCCAGCAATCCCATTACTGGGTATACACCCAAAGGATTATAAAACATTCTACTGTAAAGACACATGCACATCTATGTTTATTGCAGCACTATTTACAATAGAAAAAACTTGGAACCAACCTAAATATCTATTGATGATAGACTGGATAAAGAAAATGTGGCACATATACACCATGGAATACTATGCAGCCATAAAAAAGAATGAAAAAGAATTAGTTCCCCTTTGCAGGGACATGATGATGATGCTAGAAGCCATCATTCTCAGCAAACTAACACAGGAACAGAAAACCTAACACCGCATATTCTCACTCATAAGTGAGAATTGAACAGTGAGAACAGATGGACACAGGGAGGGGACAAGGCTTTATTTAATTCTTACAATATCCCACTGAGGCAGGAAAAATTATTACCCCCATTTAATAGGCTTTGAATTATAGCAGGAGAGAATGCATGTTACTTGTTCCAAGTCATACAGATATAAAGTAGAATAGTTGAAATTCAAATGCAGGCTGCTTTATAGTTTAGAAGAATCACCCTGGGGGTTGTGAGGGTGGATTAAAATAGGTTGGGGCTGAAGACAGAATATGGAGTTTGCAGCAATCCTGATGAGAATTGAGGGGAGTTCTGAACACAGGCAGTATCATCAGGGTCTGAGAGAAAGTGAAATACACTAAAAGGAAAAACCAACAGGACTTGGTGACCAGCTAAATTGGGGGAGGAGAAACACATAGATCACTAGGTAGGAAGCGTTCTTATGAATAACCCGTGTTGAAAGCATATCTCTCTGTCAGAGGCTTTCCTGGGTCACTTCCCCTACATGATCCACATGACCATCTCAACCAATGCTCAACAAGGTTGATGTGTGAGATGCTGTTATTCTCAAGTACAGATGAGAAAACCAGGGCTCAGGAAAATGGAGAATTTACTTTTGAGTGTACTATTTTAAACCATAGAACTAGGATTTGAACCCATATCTGCTTGACTTCTAAGTTCATGCTCTTTCTAGACTGGATCTCCTGTAGAAGGGAGAGAGAGAGAAGTAGGTAGGTAACAAGTACAGCCAGAGGGGCAGATCTATTCTTGCTGGTGAATTTGGGGAGTTAGAACATCGCTTTCATAATTCTTCTTTGTTTTAATTTACTTACTTTACCATAATTAATTTTTTAAATTCCAGTTAAAGGTTTAGGGGGATTTCTGGTTAAATTATTAATAAATAATGCCACTGTTACTAAAAAACAAACAAAAAACTTGATATGCATATCGAATCTCTAGTGTGCTGTGCAGACTCATTTAGAAGCCAGTCCTTTAAAGCAGAGTTTTGTTAATACCTTTTATTAGCCTTCAATTGGAATTTTGCATCTTTAGATCTTATACTACTATTTATATCTGGCTCTTGTTTCCCCAAAGAAATGTTACTATACAAATGAGGTGCTTTATGGCTGACACAGGCACACCGATTGCCTTAACTGAGTATTTAATCTCCATTTCTTCTCAGATCACACTAGTTTTCTGTGGAATTTTTTTAAGTTTTCTGTGTTCTAGACACTAAATATAGAGCCTATTCTGAGGGAAAAGGGAGCCTAATAAATAACATTTAGCATTAGGGTTGCTTTATTCATTGCTAGCATTTAGGACAGATTAGCACTCATCGCTGTGGGCTCTATGTCCGTCTCCCCTACTAACTGAGACAGTTAAAACCCCTGAGCAGCACAGAAAATTAAGAGCCTTGAGGAAGAAAGAGCAGGTGGTCCTAGAGTTCGACTGGAATGAGAAGGAGCATGATGAAAGTGCGAAGCCATTGTTCTGTCCCACTTCAGCAGGCCTTTTGTTCCTTCTGTTTGGGGTCAGCCAACTCTAGTTCTTTCCTCTTGCTAACAAACATGTGTGTGCTTTGTATTATTTCTCTGTCTGTTCATCTTAACAAGCAGACTTCATGCGTGATCCTTCATTGATGTCTTTTGGTGCTCATGTAATTTTGAAGGTTTTTGTTTTTTTTAATTTTTTTGCTATTTTTCTATCTCTAATGATGTTTTGAACATTTCCAAGGCCTCCAAGTTTAGTGTTAGCCATTTGTGAAACTAGCAGCAATGGAGTAGTCCCATAATGGTTATTTGGTTCTCAAAAATGCCATTAAGTCTTACCAGGGAGCATGGCAATTCTGCTTTTAAACTGCGAGCGTTGTAACTCTTTATCTTTATAGCTGCCTTGAAAGTGAGTAGCAAAAACCAACAATCCTCCGTAATTTTGTTTGATTTTTCTCTGAGGCAGCATTCTTGTAGTAAAATAAAGAAAATTCATAATATTTATTGCTGCAATAGGAAGTATTTTCTTAGCCTTTGGCCAAAACAAAACACACACAGACACCAAACAACAGAATCCTGAAGCAGCGCCCTGACCCTTCTCCCAGCTACTCTATGATCTTTTTGTTAGAGATAAACCCACTGTGGACTTAGAGACCAACAGCCTTCACTTGGAGCAGTTTGTTCAATGATTTAATATCATGTCCTTTCATTTGGTAAAATTCCATCACCTTTATATTATCATTTATTTTTACCCTGATATGCACGAGTAGATTAGCCCTGTGAAAATGATAGTCTATCAAAATATGTCTTACACAGGTTGTTTCCATGAAAAATGAGAGGTAACCAAATAGCACTTGGAAAATGGTGAAAGGCTGCTGAGTACTGACAGCCAGGGAGTGTTCAGAATCTGAGGAGCTGAGATTTTCAGAGATTTGATAAATCTCTCCAGCCACAGGATGCCAGTATGGAGCCACTTTTGTTTGATAGCATTTCTAGGGAGAAAAGAAAACGTGCTCTTAAGGGAATAGTGAGATTCACAGAAAGCTTTTTTCTGCCATCTATGACAGAATGGTTAATTCTTCTGGTGGGTTAGTTATATTATTTATTTACTTATAGAAACACAAGCTTCTCACGGGAGGAAAAAGGGGCAGATACTCCAATGACATATGTAAATACATGAAGGTGGCAAGCCCTGGCAGACCCGAGCCAGGACTCACAGCAGCCGTTGCTCTTGGCTGTCTCTATTTATCAGCCAAACCCTGTCACAGGGTTGAGTGTGGTGACTGGAAGTGGGTCCCTCTTGCTCAGGGAGAGAGATGGAGGACAGCCTTATTTAAACAAAATCGTTGATTATAAAAAATCAGACTGGGAAACAGCAGAATGACTGTAATGCATCTTTGTGGGCAGCAAGTTTGCAGCTCCAGAGCCCTAAAAGCATATGCTGCATACAGTGGGTCAAGATAACTTCATTTATGATAAGTGACTGAAAGCTGAATAATGCATTTAACAGACTTTTCATGAAGACTGTGGTGCAAAATGTAAATTAGTTAAACTTGCCCACATTTCTTAGGGGCCCAAACTATCTTCACTGTAAAGATAAAATGAGATCACGCTGGTGAAAATATTTTGTAGCCTTAAATAAATACTGTTATGCTTGTGGTGACGTCCAGAAAAAAATGGCCTCGTGCTACATCACAAACATAGGCAATTTTTGCTGTAGTTCCCATATTGGGCTAGGTATGGTTGAGTAGATGAAATTTTGCAGGGTCAGTTGTTGTTTCAAATTATTTCAAGAATAACTAGGGAACATGAAAGGTAAAGCTAAAAATACTACAACCGTTACTTGGTCCTGTACCTTACGGTTACTGAAAACACCAAATGCAGACTCATTAACACACCTTTATGTAAAGAAATAGTACCATGGATGATTACCCTTAAAGCGGAAAGACTGTTTTTGAACATGGATATAGACATGGCAGCTGAATGCCACATGCTCTGCAGCTTTCCCAGGCAAGCTGGAAGCTTCTTTAAAGACAAACTTGCCTCTCTTGAGCTCCCCTGTCTGGTCCACTGCTGTCAGATAATCTAGAAGGAAAAGTTGGTGTGACTCCAACATGCACTCATGGTCAAAATCAATTACTCTGTAGAAGCCTTCATTACCATGACAATCATTCAAATCATGAAATTCCAAGAGGGCTCTCATAAGAAAGACACATTGGATATCGTCAACAGCGCTGATTGAACACAAAGGAAGATGAAAGATAGCAGAAAGTGGGCAAAGCCAGAACAGCGATTCTTTGGCTGTGTGCTCCTGAATCAGGGATCCAAACCAAGCTTTTAAGAAGGAGATAGGACACAGTAGGAAAGCAGCAGGATCTAAGTTGCTTCTCATTTGTCTGAATGGAGGCAATGTGATGACATGGGGAAACAAGAAGTCTAAGACAGCAGACAACTGGGGTCCCTGAATATTGAGAGACATTTTTGAAAAAGGCTTTCATGTTGAGTGAGGAGGGCAGTCATTATGGAGATTAGTTCAGGAGGCTAGGAGCAGGATCTCTCTAGGGAGGCAGGGCTGGAGATGATGTCTCTTGAATACCCCTACTTTTCATTTGGCTGTTGCAGATGCCTGAGATCTCTTGGTTTTTTATTTGTTTGTTTGTTTTAACGTACTGTCACATATCCCTCGCCCCTTCTCTGCCTAAGCTACATTTCTTTAACTATTGATGAATATTTCCTTTTCCCACAAATCCACAAATGCCTTTTTGTTTTTTTTTTTTTTGGAGATGGAGTCTCACTCTGTCACTCAGGCTGGAGTCCAGTGGCACAATCTAGGCTCACTGCAACCTCCTCCTCCTGGGTTCAAGTGATTCTCCTGCCTCAGCCTCCTGAGTGGCTGGGACTACAGGTGTGCACCATTTTTGCATTTTTTAGGAGAAACGGGGTTTCACCATGTTGGACAGGCTGGTCTTCAAACTCCTGATTTCGTGATCCACCTGCCTCGACCTCCCAAAGTGCTGGGATTACAAGCGTGAGCCACTGCGCTAGGCCACAAATGCCTATTTTTATAGGATAATTTTTTCATTTCCCTTTTCTGAAAATATGGGCTTTAATTGCTCTTGAGTGTGCTCCCTTCTGCTGTACTTACATCTCAATGTAAAGAGTGGGCTGTGTAAAACACAGTTTATTTAGGAAACATTCGCATAGTATATATAATTTGCCACGACTGTGCTGGGCCCTTTACAATTGATGTAGACTGTAAAATTAATGTGCTGAGAACAACATCTTTGACAAACACAGAAAGCAAAGGTTGAAAAAAATATCTTTTTAAATGTCATTAAAAATGGCTTGAAAGGAGCTATTATGGATAACAAGCCATGAATGAGGAGAAACATTCTATATGAGAGACTATCTGAGTCTGAAACCATCAAGAGGTTAGGCCCTGACTGCTCCAGGATAGCAGGACGTTGAAAAAACTGTGGAGGAATTAATCACAAAGATAAGAGGCAAACCAGCGGGGACGCAGTAGCTGACACCTGCAATCCAGCACTTTGGGAGGCCGAGACCGGCAAATCACTTGAGGCCAGGAGTTTGAGACCAGCTGGACCAACAAGGTGAAATCCCGTCTCTACTGAAAATACAAAATTAGCCAGGTGTGATGGCACATGCCTGTAATCCCAGCTACTTGGGAGGCTGGGGCAGAAGAATTGCTTGAATCGGGGAGGCAGAGGTTTCAGTGAGCTGAGGTCATGACATTGCACTCTAGCTTGGGCAACAACAGCGAAACTCCATCTCAAAAAAAAAAAAAAGAAGCAAACAAGAACGAATGTCCCCAGGAACCAAGGTATTAGAGTTCTGCTGAGATAAAATGGCCTTAGAAATCATCTAGCACAATGGCTCTCAAAGAAAGAAGACTGATCTTTTTCTGCACACTGGAGCCAGCCTCTCTCAAGATGCCCTAAGTTCCTACATTTTTGTGTCTATCAGAATTACAGGTGGCTAGACCCCATTTTCAGTTTCTAATTTAGTAGGTCTAAGATTGAGCTTGAAAGATACATTTCTAATGTGTTAGATGAAGCTAATTCTGTTGGTCTGGGAACCACACTTTAACTCTCATTGATTTAGACTCTCATTGTACTGACTAGGCAAATTGGGCCCTAGGAGATAAGACAATATTCTCAATAATATGTTACATGTTTGAGAATGAAAATTATATTCTGATTCTCCTCCCAATTCTTCTGAGGAACTGGTTGTAATCTCATAGGTGGAAAAAACAATTTTAAACTGAATATGAAGTGTATTTTGAAACATTATTTATATGTTGGTCCTATTGTCTCAAAATATTTTCAGCCTTCTGCTTCATGAATCAAAGTCCTTATTTTAATGCAAAATATTAATTTATTCTTGCTGAGAAGCCATCATGGGAAGTTATAGAAGTGACAAATTCATTGAGCACGATAGGATTCTAATGAAGTAAATAATTCTTGAAAGTGCTCTATGAAATAGGCGGTTGTATGTTTTTGGTATTCAACCCAAAATAATTCATAGTTTGCTGTTTTTATGCATTTCTGATTTTTATGCGTTTTTAATTTCTCTTTATTTCTTTGTAGAGAGAATAACCAGATCATTGCAAATAATTCTGGAAGTTGTACCAGAAGAAGATAAATTATGAACTGATGAACTTGAGATCTTGGCAATCTGCCCAAGAGAAGACACACAATAGGGATTTTTACTTCGTCTTTTGAAAATCCAGGGAATTCTAACTTTGGTGATAAACTAAAGGAGTCAGTTATTTCTATTCATATATTTCAGCATATTCAAACTAATTTATAAGAAATTTAGTTATAACTCTATGTAGTTACAGAAAACGAACATGCAGTTCTGTGAGTCGCAGAATTCTTGAGTCTCTGATACCTACCTATTGGGGTTAGGAGAAAAGACTAACGGAACAGCCAATTACTATGTGGTCATTCTCTACAATATATCTTAGCATGGCAAAGAAAGTTCTCATTGAAGACTGAGATTTTTTCTGTGTATATGGGCTTTGTAAACATGGTTTTATACACCATAGATGACTATACTGTGAAAAGTGTTTTCAATTCTGAAAAAAAATGGATACATCATGATTATGGCCAAGAGGAAAGAAACAAATTTATTTTACATTGACATTGCATTGCTTCCCTTTAGATACCAATTTAGATAACACTCCTGCTTTAATGGATTATACCCAGAGCATTTTGAACAAAGGTCAGAGGGGATATGCTGAATACATTAAAGAGGAGTTTCTAGGGGCTACTGTTTATGAGACACATCCAGGAATTATGTTTGAGTAAAAATCCTTGAGAATTTATTATGTCAGATTTTTTTTTTTCATTATCAGGAAGTTTTATAGTCATCTGTCTTTTTTTTTTTTTTTTTTTTTTTTTTTTTCCCATCAATTTGATCAGGAAAATATGTAACACTTCTTAGAGGAAGAGTCAGTTTGGTATTAAATCCCCTTAAGAACAACCACCTGTTTCACTAATAATTTACCCCTGATGAATATATCTAAACCCGTGCACTTTTAAACCTTCAAATTACATTGTCAACCTGAGAGAAATCACCGACAAAGAAAATGTCCAAAACAATAATCCCATAGCTATAATCATATCTACATGCAATGTTAGTAATTCTGAACAATTTTTTAAATTTATGACTATTTTTACATAATGATGAGTTTTGACACTTTGTACATTTTCATTATACATTTTATATTCTGTTAAAATATCTCGGGCCTGGCGCGGTGGCTCACGCCTGTAATCCCAGCACTTTGGGAGGCCGAAGCAGGTAGATCACGAGGTCAAGAGATCAAGACCATGCTGGTCAACATGGTGAAACCCCATCTCTACTAAAAATACAAAACATTAGCTGGGCATGGTGGCGCATGCCTGTAATCCCAGCTACTCAGGAGGCTGAGGCAGGAGAATTGCTTGAACCCAGGAGGTGGAGGTTGCAGTGAGCCGAGGTCGCGCCCCTGCACTCAAGCCTGGGTAACAAGAGCGAAACTCCGTCTCAAACAAAAAATATCTATATCTATATCTATATCTATCTATCTATCTCTATCTATCTATCTATCTATCTATATCTATATATCTTCAGATGAAACTGTCCAGATTAATTAGAAAAAGGCATATATTGACATAAAAATTGAGAAGGAAATGTTACTGCTAACTAGGACTTCAACTGATGATTCTAGAAAATTTCCGCCTCTATATTTAGGCTTTGTCAGTAATTTCCACACCTTAATTATTATTTAACTTGCAAAGGGGATAATTGATAAGAAGAAATTTGAAAGAATGAGAAACTGTGGATGAATGTTTATGTTCAGAAGACGTTTTTATGCCAGTATTAGAAAACACTGTGGGCTGGGCACTGTGTATCACACCTGTAATCCCAGTACTTTGGGAGGTTGGGGCGAGCGGATCATGAGGTCGGGAGTTTGAGACCGACCAGTCTGGCCAGGATAGTGAAACCCCGTCTCTACTGAAAATACAAAATTAGCTGGGCATGGTGGCAGGCGTCTGTAATCCCAGCTGCTCAGAAGGCTGAGGCAGGAGAATCGCTTGAACCCAGGAAGGGGAGGTTGTGGTGAGCTGAGATTGCAGCACTGCCCTCCAGCCTCAGCGACAGAGGAGTCTCTGTCTAAAAAAAAAAAAAAAAGAAAGAAAATAAAATATTGTGAAACTTATAAATGAGAGCAATATAATGTTGAAATTTAAACTGTAATTTATAAATATCTAAGATAAAATGGTTAGTCATGGCCAAAGTATATGTCATCCTTTAATTTTTGTCCATTTGAAAATAGAGTTTTGAAAGAATTATACCAATTAAAATTATTTAAGGCAAACATAGAGTTCATAGACAATTGTCCAAAGTAGAAATGATGACTTACAACTTGGAGCATTCCCAATTCAGTAATTTCAATTTTTGCTCTTGAAAATATTTAATATGTATTCAAGACTGACATTTCTTTAGCCAAACCTAATGTTTGGGTCTCTAAGTGAATTTATAACAACTCCTTCCTTTCTTAGCACAGGGTTTTCAAAATTTGATTTATAATTCCTATTTCCAGTAAACATTGTTCATTTGTCTACATCTCTCCCTATCATATGTTGCTTGAGGTAAGAATTTCTTTTTTATTTCTATTTTTTTCCCATAGTCTAGATTCATAGAATTTAAACAAGAAATGTTTCCTGAGCTTTTTCTTGCCAAATGAAAAAAGACTGGTAAAGTCTCATGGAAAGTTTGTGTAGTTCTTCGCTATTCCTGAGGTTAATGTACTTATATTCACAGTGGCAGATTGGTCTCAGCGTTTAATTAATTAATTAATTTTTGATTTGAATTTCTCTTTAAAAGTACCAATTTAAAAGGTAACTAGAATTATTCTTTCTCTTACTTTCAAAAGTGATTTTTGCATTATTAAATTTCTCTGCCTTTATAATGCCATTTTAAGCAGGAAAAAAGTCAATCGGTAATTAAGAAACGAAGTGATGGAGATTAAGTTGTATTTTGGCTTATTTTTAGGACACGTCATGGCAAGACAGAGTTCCTTTAATCAGGAAATCAGTATCCATAATTTTCATTCAAAATGGCAGTATGTAAAAAGCAGATTCTCATTCAAAAACTCTCCTGCACACTTATTTATGTATACATGTTTTTATATAAGTAAAATTTTTCTCATATTTTTATATTATATGCACAGTCATACTACTGCTACATGTGCTGTACCTATACTTTATACCATGCATATTCAGATGTTTATATACGTAAGTTTATTATAACATGAAAAGCGAAATCAATGAATAGTGTTTAAAACAACTAATCTATTTTTTCATTTTTGTGGGGATGGAGTCTCAAATATTTAATTTTGATTTTAAAAGATCGAGTAAAGACTTCTAAAACTAAAACACAATTTGATTTTAAAAAGAATGATTCTTCTTACACAATCACAAATATGTGCAGTACACATTTTCCTCATGGTACTGTTTTGACCCCATTTAAAAGTATTAGATTCTATTCCTTTGAACAAATGAAAACTGAGCCATTATAAATGGTTAGCTGAAAACAAACCCTGTTCTTGTCCTTCTTTAGAAGAGTAAAGATTTGTCCTAGGGAAGTTAACTGACTTCAGTTCCAAACATGCATATGCATTTAGACTGTAGCTCCTCAGCCCTGTGGACACAAAATTAGGACAGCTTATTAGGTGACACTTGCCATGCATGGTGGTTTCTCTAACACTAAAATGTTCAGGTTGAAACAGATTTGCTGTTTGTTTTATGTGTCTGGTAAAATTGTTTCTCCCTACTATTGGATATATCAGTAGAGGGTTAACAAGAGTATAATTATACAACAGAATTCCTCATGAACTGTAATCAGTCTACAGGAAACTCATTATTTTATCTTGATTTGCAGATGAATATACTGCTAAGAAGTGGAGTAATTCTGACCTTTGTTAAAGTTGATCTTTTATAATTGAGGTATAGGGTATGAAAGATAAAACTGAAGTCCAGAGAATCAGGAAATGAAAGATAGTATGTGACTGGAAGTAATAATACTTTAATGTTATGCAATATAGTCAGAGAAATATAAAAAACTAGTTGTCTGTTGTGCATAGGTGGATGTCCCAAGAAGCTAATGAAACCTAAGCTTCAGTGCCCCTCACTTAGACATGCTCTATTCGAGTTCCTGAACCTAACTTTGCATCAGGAATTCCACATTAATTTTGCTGAAGAAGACCAGCAAAGCTGTGTATACTTCTAGTCCCACAAAATCTGCCTTGTCCCTGTGAGTAAGGTAAAATAATTTCTGTTACTTTTTTCTATGAGAAACAAATACGAAGGATATATATTTTTAAATTTATGAATTAATTGAAATATTCATATATAACAAGTGGCTTTCTCATCATATATGATGTGATACATAGGGAGATATTTTCACCTTCATCATATTTTATATGTTGATTCTGAATTATAGAAAAATAATAAATTGGATTTTAATTATAGCCCTTTTTCTTAGGAAAGAAATATAGAGAGATGTGGGATTTGAATGCCCATGAGTCAAGACATTTTATTTTACTTGAATATATTCTTGCTTCACTTTACCTTCCATAATCTGTGGTACGTTGGTGCTGATCAAGTTTACAGAGCTACATTTTGCTTTCCTAACCATCTAAAGTGAGGAACTAAAATATGGCATTGTGTAACTGGGAAGAAGCCCATCGTGGATAAAAATTAGAGTAGATAATGGGTCACCTTGATAGCTTCTGTTTACATTACTTGTACATGGGCAAAATAATTATTACCCATACATGTATTTAAGCTTAATTTTCCCATAAACAGTATTTTAAATCTGTGTGAAAATATATAATACCTAAAAGTGTGATCGCTAGGTACCCCTTACTTTATTAGTACAGTACGTAAAAAAGATTTTAAAATAATGTCTAAGAGCATGATGTCTAGGTAGTCCTTAGTTTATTGGTACTGTTCTTAAAAATGATTTTTTAATAGTCAATTTTGGGAGATAATTATTTCTTCCCTTGTATTTTCAAATTAGTTGGTGTCTAAAAATAAATGTTTTGTCTAATTTTAGATCAGATATAGATTCACAAAAGCATAAATCATGGTCTCACAGGAAATTCACCAATTTTCCGTATGTTATGAGATAATTGTCCTCCCTTAACCTCATAACAATGAATTTATATGATTACCCAGATTTTTTTAGTGTGAATCTACCAATTAGTTTTATTTTCTTGGTAGTTATTTTTCTCCCTCCTCTCTGTTACTATTGACCTTAAAATGCACAGAGGATGGTTACGGCCTCCTAATAGCTATCTGTTACATGTGTGTGTTTCAGTGTACTTGAATCGAGTGTACATTTACAGTACCAATAACTGCCCTTACAGCTTTACAGCTAACAGTTCTCTCACAAAACTGTAGGGTGTCAGGCATCTGAGAGGCATACAGAGGGCCACACTTGTTTCGAAGTGAACATGCTTTTTTTCCCCTCAACGTGTACACTACTGATTTTTTTTAAAGTATGACTTTCAAGTGAATTAATATACTGGTTAGGTAACCTGCTTGCTAAGTCCTTATTACCTCCTGTGGAAGCCTCAAAAAGCTGTGCTGAAAGCCAGAGGGGGAAAAAGAGTAATGCACAGGTACCTCTTCTGCAGCGGTGACTGTTTTTCGAGTACCTTGTGGACAGGGTAGTTTGCACAGCATCTTGTGGGAAAACCTCTTAGGCCTTTTCAGGTTAAAGCTGTATCATTTGTTGGGTTGTGAGCGGTCTAACTTAAATGTGGATTATAAAATTAGACTTCAAATATTCCTACTAATTAACTTTATTAGATGCATACTCGGAAGCACAGTCATATCACAC